TGGTTGAGGAAATTAAATATGTGCCCAAGGAAAACATTCAAGGGAAAAAAGAAGAAGAAGAAACTGATTCTGAAAATGAAGCCTCTTCTTCAGAGGGTAGTGAAGGGGATGCAATAGTTACGAGAAATGCTGATCACCCGGGAAATAATGAACAGAATAGAGATATCCAGCTTCAAAAAGGAAGCTTAATGTTCTCTCCTCCATTGCCATTAAAAATGGAACCTTGACCAGTGGGTCATGTATGAATCAAAGTCCTCCAAAGCTATGAGTCCTTTGGTTATGTCTAGTTTTATTCAGAAAACTGCATTTTGGTCTGTTATGTGAACCCAATAAGATAAACTTGTTTTGTTGTAGAGACTGTAACATAACCAGATGGTTTAGATTAGGTTTCAATTTCCACTGTGACAGTGTTTTCTTGGTTTGCTAATTCTGTTTTTGTCTTTCTGCATTCTCTACGCCATTTCCGAGTTTGAGCGTTTTCTTCTTAGATGATTGCTATTCTTCGGGTGCTGGTTTCCTCGGTTGACTGTGGAGATCAGCTTGCTTAGGTCAATTGGATTGTAATCTTGTTTTTGTAACTGAATAAGAAGTTATGTTACTTGCATTATTCTTGAGTGTGTAATGTGTATAATATAGTGCTTTTAAAACAAAAAATAGATGGATCAAATCCTTATTTCATGAAGTTGTATCAATCGAATCTTTTAACTTTGTATTAGCAGTATCAACGTCAATTGGGTCTGTGCCAAACAGAAATGGGTACAATGTGATTGTTCTTGGATTTTGGCGACAATGTGACTAATAATGTTGTTATTACATTGTGGGTTGGATGCTAGAACCAATTTTCAGGCGAAAGATTTTTTAATTTTGAGGAGTTCACTAAACTATTGAGTATTGACGAAAGAAGCCATTAAACTGAAGTTGAAGAGACCTCACACGTGGACGGTGTCATGTAATAGTTTAGAAATAGAATATATATTCTTTTTGAAAATAACAATAAAGACTTACCAAATTTTTAAAAGAGATTTTGATATGTTTGTGAAAAAAACTTTCCAAGATTATAACAACAAATATAATTGTTATTTTAAAATAATTTTTTTTAACGCAAGACAATTTAAAATAAAAACTACATAAATAATTTACTCGCGTACACGCAGGAGAATCACCTAATATAAATTAAAATACTAATTCATTCATGCAAGAACTCGAACACAAATTAATTTTTATCTTAATCTTAAATACTATATAATTCGTTTTTAGTAAAAAAACTATAAATTTCGTTTTGAAGGGACTCGAACTCTAACCTCTAAAACAAAACCAGAGTCTAATACCACAGACAATCTGACATTTAAAAGG